CAAAAACCAAATTTTGGTTTGGTTTTTGGTTTTGGGTCTGATTTTTTTGTTTTTTTGGCTTTTGGTTTTTGGTTTGGTCCCTGGGGTCTGTATCTTTTTGTTAGTTGGCTTTTGGTTTTTTGCAGGGGGGGTGGCCACATATATAAGTTCATCTTCTCACAAAAGGACACTGCAAAAACCTTCTCTGGTTGATTTGAGCTTCTAAAATGGCGGCAAACTATGTTTGATGATCACACGAGCAAGTGGCAACATGAGCGCACTGTCAAATCAATGAAATCTGGCTTGGCTGCACTGTTTGCATCTGCACTGTGCCCAAGCTGGTTATGATCAGACAGGTGTTGAAGACTTTTGCTCAGACAGACAGAGCGGAGCAAGCAGATGGGGTACCAGAGACGGTTTTTGCAGTGTCCTTTTGTATGGCAGATGGGGTACCAGAGAAGGTTTTTGCAGTGCCCTTTTGTAAGAAGATGAACTTATATATGTGGCCACCCCCCCTGCAAAAAACCAAAAGCCAACTAACAAAAAGATACAGACCCCAGGGACCAAACCAAAAACCAAAAACCAAAAAAATCAGACCCAAAACCAAAAACCAAAAACCAAAATTTGGGTTTTGGGTTTTGGTTTTTTGAAAAACCAAAAACCAAAAAAAACAGACCCAACAGGCCAGACCAAAACCAAAAGGGGCATGTGTTTTTTTTGGTGTTTTTGGTTTTCTGAAAAAACAAAAACCAAAACCCAAATTTTGGTTTTTGATTTTCCTTGTTGGGTCTGATTTTTTTGTTTTTTTGGTTTTTGATTTTCTGAAAAACCAAAAACCAAAACCAAAATTTTGGTTTTTGGTTTTTGGTCTGGCCTGTTGGGTCTGTTTTTTTTGTTTTTTGGTTTTTGGTTTTCCAGCACTTTGGCGCGCAAGGTTCGTGCGGCACAATGGACCTTTTGGCATCGCACGCACAATTTATGGAGTGCCACTGCGAATATGCTGAGGGATCTCCAGGATATTGCATAGGCATGCCATGGACACCTAGTGTCAGCCTCATTGCCAGCGTGTGAAAAAAGTGCATCTGTGTGCCTGCAAATACTTGTGGCTTTGCATATTGAAATCCCAAGGTCTATGTCCTCCTGTCCAGCAAGTATCTGTAATGGACATTCATGTTTCCTGCCATGGCTCTTCAATGTTCACAAAGGAAACGCTACTGGCAATCATGATCTCTCCTGCATTCACAAAAGCATGCTTCTGAACTTGTTGTCTGCTACTTTGTCTGTGTCTGGCAACAAGCATTTATCAAGCAATTGTCTGTGATGCAGTGATGCACATCAATGTTTCCTGGTATGCTTCTGCAATGCATCCTGTCCTGTCCTGCATTCACCAAAGCCTGTTTCTGAACTGTATAGATGGCACTCTCTTTGGCAGAAGAGGTTGTAAGATACTGTAACCTTCTTTTTGAACACACAACATCTTAAGTTGGAATCCTTCGCACAGGTTTGCTTTTTTGGCTGCAAAGGTTGGTTCTGGGGGGGGGCGTGAGCATATATATATATATATATCAGCTCAGTATAAACAGTTTTTTGGCAATGAAATGACTGTCTGGATTTCATTGGCTATTGCACACTGAACTGTATTGCGGTCTCGCATCGAGACGTTCCACAGGTTCCAGCATGGAGAGGCTGGGTGGGTTACGTGGGTCTTCTTTGCAACGCCAGGCATATCTATTCCTTTTCGCTCTTGGATGCACACAATATTCCTAGATGCTGCGGCCAATGATCGAGTGGTTCTATTTCTATTTTTCTGCACAGTCGACGAGGGTCTTCATCCAATGATCCGATCAGCACACAATTACACCCATGGATGTCCCAGGTGCTAATGTAGGGAACTATATTCCATGGGCCATGACGGAAGATTCACTATTCCAACTATTCAACTATTCCATACATCGCTGGTCTGGGATCCGACTCACTTGAAGGAATCATCGGGTTATGCGTTTTTTCCCCGTCCCGATCTCCGCAGGCCGCGCGATCTCCAGCGCTCGCGGAGCGCGGAGCTTTCCATCGCAAGGCGCGGAGCAGCGGTCCCATGCCACATCTCCAGGTGGTTCGCGAGGCTGGCACCTAGCCACCGAACCGAATCGGAGGTGGGCCATCAATTTGGCATAAACCTGCCAGGATTTTGCCAGGTTTCCATGGCCTGCCAAGTTTTTTTCAGGTTCGTACTAGATGTCAACACCTACGTTTGTTTGGGTGTGCAGCTTTAGCGGTTGGGTTGTGTCAACGGTGTTGTGTCTAGAAGTGAGGTGCAAGATCCTGTAGCACCTGAAGGCCCATAAACCAGCATCAGATATATGACAATTGTTTTTTCCATCAAAACACACTGCAATATTAATATTATATGATATATGTATCAAGGGTGGTTTTATAATAGTTTCCTTCAACTGGACGCTATTTCAAAAAATAATCCCTGGTTGTAACTCCCAGGCCTGATTTATTTAAGATGATTACCTCGCAAATGGGGTATAGGGTTTAGGTCTTGTTTCATGGGAAAAGTGGGTGCTCGGTGGCTCATTACAAAAATAAAACATAATATGTTACAAGCCCAGTACACCTATAGCGCTTTGGGTGGATTGCCCTCACTATGAGATGATGTCTTGGTAGACAGATCTGCAGTGTTCTCTAGTTGTCATCTCACTCACTGCCCTGGGCACACTGCGCTGAAGGCGCTTTTGGACCTCGGACGGATTCACGTCGGGGAACAAAGGACACCCGGGGATCAGATCCTCAGCATGGGATGCTGAATCTCCAACCCCCCTCAAAGACCGGTCTTTTGATCTTTGAACTTGACAGATTCGTCTCGCAGGCTAGAGATCCCATTCACCCATGATATCATGGTTGAATGGTAGTACGATGTATATAGTACGTAGACTCCTGATCAATTTTGAACCATCCCCTAAAAGAGGTTATCTTACAGTCCATGTTGGAGGACAAATCAGTCCAAAAATCTGGTCGCCAGATAGTCGTGGCACGGGTTTTCCAACATCAGTGAGGGGTTCCACATCTCTCAGTGTCCATCTCTATTTGGGGGGTCTACATTAGCACATTAGCCGCTCCTTTTGGCTTCCCGAAACCAGCCCGAGCGTCCAGAACACACCGCGAGCCGCGATCGGCACGCACCGCAGGTCGGTCCGGTCCTCTCGTCCGGTCCGCTCGCCCGGGGAGTCGATCTACCGCCAGGAGCGGGGGGACGGGGTGAGCCTGATGAGCCAAGCTGTGGGGGGTGAGGCAGGACGTCAAGAAGAAGTCCGGGCGAAAAACCACCTGAAACGACCAAAAGTCAAATGGAAAGCACCGTTAAAAAGAAAAACAACATTCTGAATCATCAATATATATATATATAACTATATAACTGTAGTGGGATGTAATAAAGATCAATGTGGACCTTCCTGCCCCTTGTCGTTTGTCTCCTCGTGTAACAGGGAGGTTTTCTGCAGGAAGAACTGTAGGCCAATTTGAATTGAGAGGTTGACAATGGTTGACATCTCATGTCATATCCACCAAAGACGCATGACATACAAGGGAGTCCGCCTCCCCGCCAGCCTTCCTTCACCAGGAAGAGGCTGATGAGGTCGCTTTGCCGCCCAAAACCATGGTCGGCGTGGGTCGGCTCCGGTGAAGATGGTCACCTCACAGACCAATACAGACCAAAGAATAGAGCAATTTGCCAGGTTAGGAGTAAGTATGACTAGCAGCTAGCATGACCAACTTGGTTGGTAGGGTTGGTAGGGTGGTAGGGAGCAGAAGTCTCTTATTGTGGAGGCCATGTCCTGCATCACATCCTAGATCATTCTTAGTGTGACTTCCCACTTTCTCGACTGGGATTTGGTTGTATGGTGCCACATAAGAATTTGTTTGTCTTTGGCTGCTGAATCAAATAGTGGATCCTCATGTTTGGTCATGAAAGTCGTTGCGGCTCAAAACAAAAATCATCAGCACACTGGTCAGCCGGAGGTCGAAACCACCCGTTTCGAAATCGAGTTGAAGTTTGGGAGACCTGGGAGTCATAAGCTGGATGACAGACTCTTGGAGAAACAGCTTGTGGGCCGAAATACACGAACCGCACAGCTCAGTGGACCATCGCTATAATTCCCGTTTGGGCGAACAGGGCCCAGCTCAGAAGGTGTTGAACACACCCTTCAATCGGCACCCGCCACAAGCACCACCTTCTCCGAAGCGGCAGAAGGCAGGAACCCAAACGGGAATATCTCCGATGATGTTTGCTGGGAAAGCTTCTCCGGTCTTGGGCAAAAGCCGCACAAGCCTCACACGTGTGAGGCCCGGGTCGGGCGGGCGGTTCTTGGGTGACGCAACGTCCAGCGATGGCGCGCCATGGAAGGGTCCAGTATCAAGGAGGCGGGGATGCTGTAAAAAGGTTGAACTGCAAGGCGCGGGTCCCTGGCTTGTTTTCTTTCAGTAGCATCCCATGTTTGCCATGAAGATGTGGAACTGTTGGATTTATCAAAGAGCCCCATGGCCTGGACATGTAAAGACCATTCTGGTAGGGTCGGGTAGGAGGGGTTGGAGGAATCAGGAGTCTATGTTACTACTATCAGACATCTTGAAAGTTTCTGTCCATGCCATATCCATGCCATATCCCTATTTTTCCATCAATTCGCCCAGAAACCAGTTGAGCACCTCATGGCGAATTGACCTGATTGATGCACCGCCACTTCGAAGAAGAACCAGAACCGGAACACGGTGCGTTGTCTTTGTGTATCTCTTCACAGGCCACTTACTGCCAGTCATGGTGCCTACCCAGTCCTTCTCGGCACCAATAGAGTCTGACTAAACCTGGGTTCTGGCCGTTCCCCGGCACGTTTTCGGTGTTCGCAGACCATGTCTACATAGATCAGAGCCACCGACGTCGACCTACCAACATGTCGATTGGATGAACGATGTCGGCCTACCCAATCTGCTTCAGTGACTCGTTGTAGGAACTGATTCGGGCTTGCGTCTCTACTCCGGAGGAACTCCGCGGTGATTCGGGTTGTGGAGACCCACAGAGTCTGTCCTTGCCTTGTCAGGCACTTCGGGGAATCAAGACCTCCGACTGGAAGAAGGCTGTGCAATGGCTGGAGAAAGCGCCTGAAGCTGTGGTGGTTTGTGGCCTGACTTGAAGCCAAGACATGGGAAAATGATGGAGAATGATTGGGGTGTGGGCGTGCCAGTGAGTTCAGAAACCTCCAGTTCACATGTTTCTTGAAGCAAGATGCAAGATCCAAGATGGAATCGCTACGGTAGTCTAGTTCTCGGCAGTAGAATTGCTAGGTATCGATATGAAGAGAGCCTGCTACTGTCAGGCTGCCACACAGTTCGATTTTGCAGAGTTTTACCCTGGCGTTCCCTCTCCGTTGTGGACGCACAGTGCTTTCTGCCCGTGGCGACCAGGAGCGTCTCACCAGACGGCCGCTGAAGAATCTGTTCAGGAGCATGGATGTACAGAGTGAAATACCGTACGGCTCCAAGCATATCCTCAGAAGGCGGTTAGACCCCCCAAACTCACCCCAACCATCTTCTCAGGAGTGGTTGGAGCCCTAGGGATAATACATGCCATGTATTAGCTGGCCTGAAATAGTATAGTACGGCCATAATACGAGCCATGTATTAGCTGTACAGTACAGTACAGCTATAATACAACCAGAGAAAGTACAAGGCTAAATTATGATTATGAATTCATGAATTAGCTCGATACATGGATTGAGTAGGAAGTGGGGAGTCCAATAGAAGAAACACAAGTCTCAAGGCAGAACCACTTATCAAACACTGGAGGTAAACACTGGAACAAACACTAGAAGTGGGAAGTGGTTCTTGCGTTCTTGCCACCTTGATAAAATCAGCTGCAGAAACACTTCTAGTGTCCCAAGACCTGTCTCCACTCATCAGCCAGCCACCCACCAAGAAAGGAATACGCTGCAGGTGATGAAAATCCTCAAGTCGGGTCATCCATGCAATATTCGGCTAAAGTTGCTGTGAGGCTGTGAGTCAAAACCTCCCCCCATCAAACCATGGTAGGTTGACATTCCTTATATAGAGGAATCTGTTCGTTTGACCCGGGGTCAACCAGGGTGCCCAGCTTTTGACCCACCTACAGTAATTATATGACATGCTTAGCATAGGGTGCCATCCAGTCCCTGTCCATTGGTCAGTGTCCAACCACTGACCAAGCCGAATATTTGGTCCATCTGACTGAGCAGTCTTGATCAGTCTTGTCCATCCACCGGACCCTTTAGAAGCTTCACTAGAACATTAGAACAATTCAATCACAGCCCCATTTGAGGTACGGGTCTTGCTAATATGAAGTAAGGGCTGTTTGCTTCTTTCGACTTCAGGACGCCGAGGTGATGATGTGGTTATCTCGTTCCGGCTCGTTTCCTGTCTCGTTCGTTCGAAGAGTCCAGTCTTTGTGGCCATACCCAACCATCTCCTCCTCAACCACCCCCTGCCCTCAAACATCTCAAGAACCACCCCATACAAAAATGACTCGACTCCTTCCCCTAACACAAGAAACCACAAGTCTGCAAGCATGACGGGACTCCAAGATCGCTCGAGGCAATGCTTGCGCCAGCAGCTGCTCCAAAGCACATCAATGGCTGAAAGCCTTGCAGCTGACCACCGAGGCACCGGTCACTGCCCCGACCCGGGCTAACCGCTTCGGGCCTGGCTTCCACAGGGTTTGGACTCTAGGGTTGTGGTTGAAGAGGATATAATAATATAATGTGTATTATTATGTAATTATATAACGAAGAAGAACAAATAAAAGACAACAAAAAAATACAAGACATAAAATTTCAGTCTATTACATGGCTGAGGCTCTAACAATTTCAATCTTTATATCCAGACGGGTTCATTGAAGGCATGTGTCCAAAATGCATCATCTCATATAATCATTGCGTTTTTCGCGTTGTGTTGGGATGTCATGTTCAGGTTTTATTTTGCTCCACGTCCTGATAATGCTCGTTTTTGTTGTTTTGTCATAGAACACACTGGAATTTGGACATCGGGACTGCCGGCGGGAAACGCCGACCTCCGAGAGGGGTCGGAGAGCTGCGGGGCGAGAGCGACCGTGTGTCCCAAGGTGGTCGAAGTTCCAAGTGTTGGCATCACAGGGGTGCACAGGCAATGAATTGTAAAGGGTAGAGCCAGCATCAGCAGACGAGACGATGGACCAAGATCGAGGTTCGGTGGCGTCCAAAAATAAGCTCGCCTAGGAACACAGACACACACACACACAAACCTCAAGATCATTTCCCAGACACGACATTCCACGGGACACACTCGTCATGATGACGGACTGAAGAGCACCCTTCTGCGGTCGAGGTCAAACTGCACCCCATGGACCCCGCGCCGTGGGGCTTTCCGCTTCTGACGGGCGCGCCTGAGACGACACCAAAACATGGCCATGCCTATTTTCGCTGAATCCAAAGGGGTGAGGGGGGGAATCGGGGCTGTTCCCGCGAAAAACATCGCGGTCAGCGACGAATAGTCTATAGAATTTAATAAGTGTCTGTCAATCTTTTTGCTGGTTTTTGGTAATGTGACGGCTGACTGACATCTTCCACAGCTCACCGGAGGCCCTCTCAGAGACACGCCGGCCCCGCTCCGCTCATGCTCACTTTCATCGTCCTAGACCGGGGTCGGCGGATTTTTTCCCAGGATTTATGTGCGTCATGGTCAAACACGTGGATTGCGACAGCAAGTCCGCCACAGACTCATGACTCGCTCACCGCGTCCCTCGCAAGGTGCTGTAATTTCCAGACTGGTTGCTTTCTTAAGGAGTTTGGTTTGCGTTATCAAAGGAGGTTAGTGCGATTTGCATCTCAAGGATGCAGCCCCCCAAGACCAACAGTCTCAGCCCCAAGACATCCCAACATAGCCCCAACAACGCTTTACATAAGAGTTGTAGCTGCAAGTCGTGTTAGTCAGGAAAATGAACATGTTCTTTCTCACGAACTCGTGTGACGTGTGGTTCTGGAAATACTTGGCACGATTTTACATTATGGAGTTGTTGACGTTTCCATTGACTTTCTTCTCAACATCTTGAGCGTCAGTGTAGTGACGCCATGACTCCATATTATGTCAAAGCTTTGACGCTCTTGTGGGCGCTCACTTTTTTTGCCTTTCCATGAAGTTTGCGCTGCCGATTTCATGTAAAAATGCCAACGAACGTAGATAAAAGCTCGACAAACTGTGGGCAGAAAGAGAAGGCAAGTGAACTCAGGCCATGGTTGACATAATTCATTGGCCCAAGTGAACCCGGCGGGTTATACATATACCGGCTTACAGAGTAAGGACTAAAAAACCAATGATTAGAGTTCAATGCACTTCCTCGATGTATCCAACAGACCTCGCATTGAGCAACAATTGGCTGTAATCAAATGGAGTTCTAAACTGAACATCCATGTTTTGCTGACATCAAATGCCAACTTGATAGAGCATCGTTTCACAAAACTGACTTGCAGACACTGTCCTTCAGGAAAACACACCCAAACAAACATAAACCTTAAAATGTCCCAGTGTAACCAAACCTGTTCTGTTCGGTCAGATGATGATTTGCATACAAAGATGAACAGCTCCTTCACTCAGAGTGAACTGTCAGCCATGGGCCTATGCCACCCCACCTTTTCCCATTGTTTTCTCAACTGCAAGTTCCAACAGCGGGGCACGATTCCACTCATGGTTGGCATTCCACATGTTTGTCCCACCAAACCCTAATCCTACGCCGCAGGTCCTCTTGAAGAGCCTGAAACCTTCTGACGTGACCTGCAACACTGCGATCCAAGCCTGTGTTCCTTGGAACTAATGATGGAACACGTCACCAAGGGAGGAAGGGAACCACCCAGCGATGAGATAAACCGGTGACCGGATGGCGGGCTATGGAGAGCTGAAACCTGTCCTGTCAAATAAATATGGCCACAGGATTATGTACACGGGACAAATGCCTATCCACCACCCATGGCCAAAAAGGTTGTTTCTAGACCCCCTTGACATGCCCTGTCTATGCATGTGCCATCCAATCACCATCCCACCCAAAGGATGGTTTATAGAGCCCCTTGACTATGTAAATTATCACCCAAACTGGGTGGTGCTGGTTCTTTCTGTTGGAGATGCATCCTTTGCCCCCTCGAGGTGAAGGCGCCAGAAAGCACCTGGCGCCATGCCATCGGCATTTTGACCAGGCATCTCACGCAGGCACCGAGAGTTTTCACCAGCCGGCGGAGGCGGTAGTTTTGGGGTGCGAATATAGGGATTGAACCTGGTTTTGGGGCACAAACAGGTTGCCGAAGAACGTTTGCAATCGGATTCACTGCCATTCCTGTTTTCGTTGTTGAGAAGAACCATGGTGCTACGGTGTACAGGAGCGGCGATTTTGCCAAGACATCCTTCACAGAACATGAATCTCCAAATTGCATACTCCCTCACCTCAACGGCCGCTGCAGTTTTGGAACAAAGGGCGCGACACATTGAATTTGTTTGTAACCAGGGGTGTCCCACAGTGCCAGCCTGGCTGCCTCAGTACAAAGCCCTGTTCCGAACTGGTTCACAGAGGCATGTGCTGACCTAACTCCGCGGTACAATCCTGAGGCTGAGATGGGAGCTGATGGGAGCTGCGGGAAGGAGGTGAAGCCACTAATTCATAATGGAATGCACGGTGCAGCCACGAACCAGGTTTTCGGCAAGTGCAAGAGCAAAAAGAGGATGTCCCACATTGCCGCCTCCAACAGGAAATCATCCTGGTCAGGTTTCAGCAACAAGCCAAGATCATACCCTGCATTTAATGTAGTTTGTCCTCTCCAATCTTGTTTCACACTTTTCTCCCCAAACTCTCCTATCTCCTACTTGCGAGGGGATCAGGGGGTCACGCCCTGAGGTGCAGCGAGACGCCGTGAGTTGGCACAGCGCCGCGGACATCGTACAAAGGGAGCGCTGGCAGTTGAGCTTGGAGTTGCTCGGTTTGTGCTGGGATGTTGAAGCGAAGGTCCATGGTTTGGACCTTTGAATGCTGATATGTTAAACCTCACAGATGGAGATGTTTGGCCATCCAGGTAGTGGCGCTCTAAAGATCAGATTTCAACAGCCGTCCACATGGGTCACACTTTCTGCAAAGATGTGCCTGATAGCTCACTCTGAAGATAGGACTTCATCACGAAGCAGGTGCTGGTGGTGGGTTTGGCTCAGACAAGGGCTAGGGCGGCTGTGAGTGGTCCATTGGACCGAGACTGGTCCATTTGAGAGACCAGTGGCCTTTGTGTCACAGGAGAGGAGCTCCTGACCTTACCGATTTCATGTTGGTTCACAAGTAGTATGCGGACAGATCGGATTTTGTCATGTGTGCGACTGATGCTCAGGTCACCCATTTCTTATGCAGGGTGACAAAGGAAAGGACCCAGTAGATTTTAGATGGCAGAGTTAAATCCAGGGAAGACCATTTGCACACTAGATACATTCAACTTGGGCAGTATACCTGGACCCTGGCCCCTTCTGGTGTATTCTATGACAAAATAGGTTTTCCTACCACAGGGCTGGGTGTGCCTCCTACTGTGCACAGTTCCAAGTCGAATCATCTACAGCGCTCTCCAGCTTGTCCTACGGGAAGACAGCTCCCCAACTTGAGTGGCCGGTGGGGCCTTGTGCGGCCTTCGCACAAAGCCAGGAATTCAATCCAACCACAACTCGCGTCCAAACCACTGCTCACCTGGTGATACTAGTGTCCTTGGAGTTCGTTGGCTGAGGTTTTGTAACGCCTGAATTTCAGGTGGTGCCGAAGTGGAATGAAGTGGGGCAAACAATCGGCATATCTTGCGATCGCAATGTCAATCGTTGGTAGCACTTTCAGAATGACTTCCTACAGCACCTTAGAGTTGGAAGGCTTCTCTTTCCGGACCACAGGATCTGACTAAGGACATGTCCCCAAACTAAGCGGGTGGTATGTGAAGGATCTCACTACATTGACTACATATGACTACAAAATCTTGGAACAAACGTCTATATATTAAATATACTTTAGGTACGGTATACTATACATTTCTTGAATTTGATCTATTTTGTTTTCTGGTTGTGTGGGTTTCCAGTAACAGTGATGGTCCTAGGTGTTGTTTCAACCTTCATCGCGTGCTCAGGCTCCTTGACCGCCTGGTGCTGCTGGCTTTGCTGCCCGACGGCATCACTCAGACACTGAGGGCCTCGGGGTTGAAGACGGGACAGCGCTGGCAAGAGGGGCTCCTGCTGAGTAGTGGAGGTCGGCAGAGTGCGATGGAAGATAAGATGCCCCCAGTCCTCTGAAAAGCCCATGGATGTTAATAAATGAATTTTCATACAGCATACAGCATACATAATATTTTCTCATCATCAATTGTCCATTGTCAGGATGTTGTCCTTTTGTTCTTCCTCCTTTCTCACTTACAAGTAATATTAATCCGTTTAGTGAGATGCTAGACTACCGGGCCACGAGCCTGCGCCCTTCATTGCAGGCTCTCTCCTCTTGGTCACCGCTGCGCTGAGCTCGTTGCCCGCACCACGCTGGCGTGGTGGCCTCGTGCTGCTCACCACGGCGTCCGCGAATGCGCGGACCGCGGCTGACGCACGGGCGCTGAGCGCCGCGTGCCGCGTGTGCGAAGCGGAGGACGGTGTTGAAGATGTCCAGATGGGTATCACACAGAAGACCTTCCTTCATGCCGCATGTGGATCCCCAGCTGGTTTCAATGTGGAGCTCGGAACTTCGAAGTATTTCTTTTTGCATTTTTTTTGCTGACCCTCAGACACTCACTGGCATTTCAACAGCATGGCCCGTTCCTCACGCTTCACTCTAGAGGAGAGCTGGCCTTGGGCGCTGCACCTGCTACAGGAGGTGCAACAGGCACTGAAACCCCGGAACTCCGCGCGTCACTGAGGATTGTAGACGACCACAGCGAGCAGCAGTCACCCGTGCGAACTGACCAGTGAATGGACTCGAAGGATTCCCCACGATTCAGCTGCACGATTCAGGACATCATATGCAGGTACAGAAGTCCTTTGCGGCATCCAAGAAGATCACACATCATCGCTTTTTTGTTGACATCCTTAATCTATCAGAAAGTGTTAAAAGCCGGGCCGGGATTGTTCACTTCTTATGCGCCCCAGGACGTCTTTGGATAAACCGGCGATGGAGGTAAGGCCAAAATGATGGCGACTCCCGCGTTTCATACATGAAACTTTCTTGGTCTCACATGCAAAACGGAGTGAAACACATATTACTCCGAAATCTCCAGGTGAGCTTCGACCCCTATGCCTTGAGCTCCACCATGACTGCCTTGAGCTCCGCCCTCCAGTGGTCTCAAGCGCTTCACCTCTTTAGCACCCACAGCGCCCAGTCACGAACTCGGCACGACGCGGTCACCTACGGCGCCGCGATGGCGGCCGCAGCGGTGGGTGGAGTGTGGGAGGCTGCGGTGAGATGGCTTGAAGAGATGAGGAGCAGAGTGGAGGGAAGGAGTTGGATGAGAGGGATGGATGAGGATGAGGAGAGTTTAAGTTGATAGGATTGATAGGATTCTGGGATTGAATTGGAGCAGGGGAAGGACACATGCGCCAAATATTCAACTTTGTTGTACACAGTGGAGGAAGTTCCTGATACTGTGCAGGAGCAACAATGTGGCTCCCAATCTGGTGATCTACAACTCGGCCATCAGTGCATGTGAAGAGGGTCAGCAATGGGAACATGGCTTGTGGCTGCTGCAGGTCATGAAGAAGTCGACGATCACTCCGGACACTCATAGATGGGAGTAAAAGTTTGTCTGAGGTGTTTCGACCTGTGTTGCGAAACTCCCCATGGTGTGACCCAGCAGTGGATGGTCAACTCAGCTTCTAAGATATCATAAGAATTCATAAGATATCTATTCATAGATCAGTTGACCTTGTTCCTTTTCAGAAGTACAGGGGGGATGCCATCCCCTCCCTCCGGACATGTCAAACGCACGCGCCCCGCAAAAACACACACGCGGCCGCGCGAAGTCCGAAGACGAGCACTGCAACGAGCGCAAGCACAAGACTCGCACCAAAGACACACTGGCTTCACCAACCCTTGAACTTGAACCATCTTGAACCCCTCATGCATTCTTGGAACAGCCCGTTTCCAGGACGTGATCAGTTATAGCTCCGCCGTCGCAGCTTGTGGTTGGGGTAAGCGTTGGAGTGATGCAGTGCTTCTGCTGGACACCATGTGCCAGCAGATCAAGACCAACATCATCGCGATGAGCGCTGCGGTGACCTGCGCCGCAGGTGTTGCAATACGTCGACGTGACGTCGGAGCTCGAAGTCGGTCCAAAGCCTCGCTGGCAGTGGCTGGCAGAGTCAACAAGAAGAACCATTTTCAGCAGAGTCATGCAAGTCGTCATAGTCGAGTCGATGTTTTACTGTCCGGCCTTCCTTGGGGGGGGGGCATGGATGGAAACAATGCCGTCAACCTTTAGGGGGCGATCGACTATTGGGTGAACGAGTCGTTTAAGGGTTGAGCTAGCAAAATATTGCCGGGAAGTTGGGGTTTCTGGGGGTCCCTCAGGTAGTCAAGACGTGTGAGTGACAATGTGCTGGACAAATGTTCAATTCTAACCGGAAGCCTTCCCCAGACCTGCAGCTGCTGGATACAACAAAGCCGACTCTATAGCTGATTGTTGCACAGTTGGTCGTCCATTGTAATCCCAGACCCTCAAGTCTCAGTGGTGTTTCAAAAGTAGCGACCTTGGTTTTGGTGAGCATGGTGAACCAGTGCTGCTCAACTGCGGTTTGACAAAAAAATCGCCGGCCAGTGGCCACTAAGTCCAGACAGAGATGGTCAGGTCCGGTTCTATAATTAGATGGGGACAGCCCTCAACATATCTCTGGATCCGCATACCTTCTGAGAAGGTGATTGGAGACTATTTATGTAGGCTTGGAGGCCCCAAGTACTCTCTAAGAAGGTGGCAGTGGATCCCTAGGGGATGAGTAGGGATGACATGCTTTCGGTGTTGTCCTATAGTCCGTCATAGTCCATCAGATGTTCTGCTTTCAAACGTGTCATCCGATGTTCTTCAGCCGGAACAACTTCTTTCGAGTATTCAGTATTCGATCCGACCGCTGGGTAGGCAAAACGCAACCGTTTCTGATGGAGCAGAAGTTTCGGACCCCGTCCATCGTGATGTATTCTGCTTCAGCTGAGGTGAGTGTTTGTGAGAAAGCAAGTCGCTGGGCCCCTGGGAAGCAAGTCGCTGGGCCCCTTGGGCACCATGTTCCGCCATGTTCCGTCCTACTTCACCAACCACCGACGGAGCTTGTAGGGTGTCCAATCCTCGGAGCCTTTAATAGTAACCCTAACCAGTGGGAAACCCTAATCAGCAAGTGTACCAACAACCAGCAAGTCGGATTCAATCTATGGGACCTCTATTCAATCCATGGGATGTTCTGTTTGTAAAGCAACAATGCTCTTCCAGGTTCCCATTGGAGCCATTTGGGCTGCCGATTTTTCCACTTCTCAGCTGGTGGAAGCCCACTGGAGCTGGCGAGATCCAGGAGATCACTGGGAACAGCCTGGCGCTACCAGCGCCCCATGCCCCCCCTTTTTGGTTGTGAACCACCTTCATCCGGTTTGGCCAACCGTGTTGGGTCGACATGTTGATCTACAAGTCAGAAGTGAATTCATCAACAGCTTGAGCAACTTGACTTGAAGGAGACCCCATACCCTCATGAAACGTCTGTGTTGCTCCACAAGTATGGGCAAGATCCGCCGAACACCTGGCTGATTCAGGTATAATGTACAATCTACCCCGGGATTGACTTGAGGGGATCCAGTTGCCACCATAGCGGGCAACCAGTGGTTCTGAAGATTAGGAACCATATACCCAACGATGGCCCCTGGTTCCTTAATGTTCCTTACTATTGGCATGTCTGCCTGATATTCCACACCATTTGGTGCTGAAGCTGCCTGGGATGCCTGCTTTACATCTCAAGGCTTTAGCTCTTCACTTTCTGGAGCAGTGCTGGCAGCTGGACTTGGAAGCTGCTTGGCCTTTCTGTGATTTCCTGTCAGGTCGAGGAGCTTTTGGGTCAGCCGTGCAGACAAAACCACCTAAAGATATATAATATATATATATATTATATAGTATGATAGATTTCTTCTTTTTGGAGCAGCAAAACAGTTCGTTTGGGAGCAGAAAGTACGTCGGATACAGGCGCACTCTGAGACGACAAAGGCGCCGCAAGACCGGCATCCCGGTGGGACCCGGTCAGCAGACGGGGACCCGACCCTCTGAAGATTTGCTTCATGTGAAGCGGCAAAGATGGTGAACTTAGGGCGAAGCTGGTGAACTTTGGAATGTTACACTCCAATCATCAGGGATTACGTGAATGGGAACGGATTTCGGATGACCATGAAATCCAAGTATTCAAACAGGTGGTGAACTCCACTTCCAAGGGAGTGTCAGAATGGGATGTTTTTCCTTCATGACTCGTTTTGTTGAGTGAAGATTGATGACGCAGAAGCGAGAAGATGGATGCTCCTTCTTTTTGTTGGGCGGGGTATGGCTTGACCTTGACCTTTTACGAGTTACGAGATAGTTCCCTCAGAGCAAGCTGCGTAGCTGACTTGACTCCCCGGCCAAACAAACAAAACAGATCGACCTCTGATGGGGACAGCCCGACGGCTCTGTGGACTTTGAGGTGAATACTGTGACCTACAACGCTGCCATCAGCGCATGTGAGAAGTGCAGCCAGTGGCAGCGCGCATTGATTCTGTTCGATGAGATGGAGACGCAGAAGCTTCTTGACCCTGTATAAATCGTGACGGCTTGTTGTTTGTTTTGGCGCTGAGCTAGCAACTAAAAGGTGTTAATTTCTGACTAGAGGTAATATCAACCAGCTTCTTCAAAGTGACCTTTTTGGAGTCCCCAAGTGACCTCACAGGCCTAAGTGACCTCAAACCAGGATATCAAAAGGTCACTTTGAAGAACCAGGAATTGATATAATTGCTGATGTGTTTTGCCGCAATGCCTGAGTCATGAACGGGGCAAACAACAAGGGGCCAACGGGGCGTTCACACGGCCCGTGCCTGCAAGCAACACAGACCGTGCCTGAGGAACATGGAGCGCAGCCACCTGGAGTTGAAAAAGCTCAGGGGTGAGCGGGGTAGAGACGGGTACAGAGGTGAGACGAGTAACAGGACCCGCCAAGGCCGCTTTCGACACCCCGATCGAAGCACCGCACACGGTGTGCCCAGACCCAGAACGGTCCGCGCTTCGATCTCGGCCCATGCGGCTTCGGAGAAAGGGTAGTTCGGAAGGCCGCGCCTGCGCCGCAGGCGCCGCAGGTGCTTCGAACGAAGGTTTCCAACCGAACATCGGATCCGCGAATTCCGATCCATCGGGGCCACGAAACCGTCGGATCGCTTCGCGTGTGGGATCCCTTCGAACGCTGCAAAGGACCGTCGGATCTCGAGACGGACGAGGCAAAACAGGAGCATGTCGACAGACCAGAGAGATGGGTATGTGTATTGATGTGTTGGTTGGGGGTGGTCCCAATTGTCACATAGAAAGGCTTGCAACCTAACCATCATCATCCACTGTTACACGGAATGGGGTATCCCGGCATACCCAAGGTATGTACAGTATTACAGTACACTCCTTTTTCTTGTCAGTGGCAATGGATCCTGTTCATTTTCCGTGATCAAGAAGGAGGTTTCCAGGTCTTAACCCACAGCCAAACAATGTTTCATGGAGCTTACCAGCTCTTTGGTTTATTTGGATTTCATTATAGTCATGATGATTCCAGTATGTAACAAGGAGGAAGTCCGGCAATTCTCAGAAGTACTGCCCCTGGCGACACATCCCTAAGACAATGATGGTTGGATAGACCTCTTTGATCTACCCCCCGTGAGTCTGTTGAGTGATCTACCCTTGATCTCTTCTATAACATATATCCGTTGATGGACGGGTCGGGACACACTTCTTGATCTACAAAACGGTTTCTATTCATTTGTCTCAGAGAAAGCCAAGATTCCTTTGGGTCTTGAAGCATAAAGCATCATAAATCTGTTCACCAACAGGGGCAATGGATAGGGCCGCCAATTTGCTGCAAGCTCCCTATTGCAGGTCACATCCCTTGAAACGATTGAATCCTTTTGTTTTTGTCCAACAAGATTCTGAATATGTTCCGAATCACCCAAGGAAAGATTGAGTGAAAGTTCCAAGAAAGTCTCTGGTGGATCTATGGGTCAATCTTTCACCACCAGGCAATCCGTTTCTGATCCTGCTTTGGTCATCCCGATTCCCCATGTCCAGTATGAGAAAACTACTGGGTACCTGGGGGTTCTTCTATGTTTAGTTCGATCACCCAAAGATCCACTCTGTTTGTTTCTCATCACCTGGGTGTTTTACCGATTCAGCTTCACACCATTCTTTCACTAGTCGATCCACTCTGTCCTGCTGATCATCACCAGGTTTGATCAGCTGCTCCGTGGCCGTCAAGGTTTGCGCCACTGCGAAGGCCTGGGCAGCTGCCCGGGCCCTGGAAGAATTCTGCGCGGGGGCAGAACGTGATAAATTGATATAAATTGGCTGTGGGTCAAAGCCCTGAGCCCCAAACCAGGGGAGGTTGACCTTCCAGGTAGTGTATTCTGTTCATTCTAATTATTATGTATCAGTCATGTTGCATATAGCATTATATAACTATTATATATATATATATTGTGCCAAGCTGTTTCGATATATGCTTTATAGCAGTGAGTGAGCCTCCCAAATGCTCAAAGACGTTTCACTGCATCACTGTTCGATCATCAAACGTATATCCAAGACACACACAAAAAATCAAAGGAAAAAAGAAACGATGAAAAAGGTGGCACATCAACGAAAGTGCACTGTACAGATATTATAATTTGTATATGCTTTGTGTATAAATACCATTGTGTTTACCGTACGCGCAATGCTTTTAGGGTGGCGATCAATTCGGCGCAGATACAAGCCCACGTTCACCGTGCATGAGTGAAACTGCATCCAAAAGCCCCACGGTTCGGTCTGTTCGGTTCCAAGCCCACGTCCAAAGCCACACCCATCCGGACGTCTGGGCATCGCCCGCGCCTGAGGCGATGTCTCTCCTGGCGGATGAAGAGGCACGACCGGTCTGTGCCAGTCTCCGGGGGTCGGTCAGACCGATTCGTCGAAGAGGCGCGGCCAAGGTCCGGGAAGAAGTCATTGCTTTGCAGATGCAGATCAACTTGCAGCCATTATAAACAAAAAGAACTCATTAGCCCGTTATAACTAGCCCTTATAGTTTATAAGCGATATATAGAAATCATCATAAATCATCTAGTATTCAATTGTTCAGCGTTGTGTTTGTCGACTCTCTTCGATCTTCAGCATGTTACTCCAAGGAGTGCCGAGTGCTTGTGCTCTGCAATCAATTGAAGTTGAGATCAACGCCTCACAACCTGATGAGCTGGACGTCAGAATCGATGTCAGCCATCGTCCTATGACTCGATTCATGTCTACTCCCCTTGGAGGGCTCCCTATTTCTGCCTCCGTTTTGCTGGGACGATCTATCTGTTGGACCGGACTCGGTGGATCTCTACCTCCATTTTTTGAGGTGTCGTTTTCGGGAGGCCTCTCCCTTCGGCCAAGTTGGTGGTGGGGTTCCTGCAGTGCCATCCAGCCAGGGCCGCCATCCAGCCAGGGGGGTCTGACCGTTCCGGAGTTCATGGCACACCCATACCCAGACACTCCATGTGTGCCATATATGCCTACATTGGGGTGGTTTGAGGGGTCAATGTAGGCACATATGGCAGTCTTATGGAGTATATGGGATAGGAGTGGCGGGTGTTCGCCCATCTGGAGGCGCCCTTCGCTGCCCTGAGCGCCGCCTTCAATGCCGCGGAGCCGGACGGGGGCGAGGCCGGTTCGGCGAGGGCGCTGGTGCAGCTGGCGGCGCGGATGGCGAGGCAAAGGGAGGTGCGGCGGGGATGGCTATTTCAGGTGGAAGGCGGATGGAAATGGATGGACATGGATCGAATCAGTGAAGGATCTCAATAGATAGATCTCAATAGATAGATCTCAATAGAATTATGAAGACAATTTGTTGATCTTATCATATCTCAGATGTGGAGCCCTGGGTCATGATCAGAAGTGAAGGCACACTGACCATAAAACAAAAAACAACTGTTAAATATGATGATGGAAAGAGGTGTGTGGGGTCAATTTTGCCAAGCATTTGTGCTGTTGACAAGACTGAAATCAGTGAAGACCAGACCCACGAGTTGGTGGTTTCCTTGGAAACATGGCATGTTCAACCCGTAGGATCCATGGAGCAAGTTCCACAAATCACCCACCAGCTGTGTGGAAACCCGTCATCCGCTTTTGGTGCGATATCTCGAAAAGCAAGACCCAGAAAAAAGGGAACGTCACATTTTAAGGTAGAACTTCTAGAACTGTGTTCACTTTTTGTGAAGGACAGCAAGGACGACCCAGGTCTGTGATCATGATAGTCGATCTGTTTGTTCCATTGACTCGATATCGGCGTAGTGGAAAAAAAAGGTAGTCTCCCTTTGAACAATGCCGTTGCAGGTTCTTGCTGCCGAGCTCTTGGACAACCACGACTTGCTCAGTGACGCCTGCCTGGCGCAGCTCCGTCGGCGTGTGTGGCGTCCCTTTTGGCGCCGCTGCAGCACGCTGACGCGTGGAGACCGTGCGATGGGTCGGACGGAGTGGAGGCTTTGGGATCCTGTTTTGGAGCAACTTGGCACAGGAAGTTGGTCGGGAATTGGGTTCGAAGTCCTGAGACTTCGAACAAAGAACGATACAGAACAAACAGTTTCCTGGAAGAAGGCCAATAATGATACAAACCAAATCTCTTTATTCCAATATACACCCTATATAATTATACACATATAGAAAAGGTTCTCCACTCTTCAATTTGATCTAGCATCTAGCATATAGTTCGCTTGTTTCGTTTTTGGGCTGGACCACTACGAAGAACATTTGGACTGAAACCACATGAGTAGCGGATGGTTTGAACATCCCCAGATTTCGGACCATGCAACCAAAATAGGAGTACCAGTACCGCCATAGTTTTGCAATGTCATCAATCTACCGAAGAGTGATCAGAAAGTTTGGTGTTTTCAATCTGTTATGTGGTGAAAATAGAACAAGTGGTTCAGCACTCAGAGATGCCAGTCGTGTTTCGTAGACATTTCCGTGAACAGCGGCCCCAACGGAAGAACTGTCTCAGACTATCGGTGCCATTTTGGCCACTGCGTGAGACTGCTTCATGTTGCTAGGCAGGAGTCCTTTTTGGGCACCGTGATGACCATTGACATGCTCCGCAGGTTACAGATCCAGATCCAAAGGCCTCTTGAAGCAAGGCTCAAGGCTTGGGCTCCGTCGTCCAGCTGTTGGGACGGTCCAGGAATAAGAGAAATCCACAGGGTCCGATTGTGTGTTCCCTACACAAGTGCCATGTGTTCCAGGTAGTGGACTAGTAGTGGGTGCAAGGCATTCACCAGTGCACCATTGGTCCAAAGATCAAACCTGCCTCCAAACTCTTGACCAGTGAGTTGATTGACAGTTGGGAGGACTTCTGAAGTGAGGGACGCAGTAGGACATGAGGGTGGCTGGTTTTGACTAACAATCTGTTGGCAGCAAATCCTTTTGTTTCTTTCAGCCCGAGTCTATGCCCCGCTTGCATGCAGGCCTTAGCCTTGAATTTATTGCTGGATTTTATGACTGCTTTCTATATAGATAGACCATGACCAATGCCTTGATCACAGTCTGTTGACTTTTGGTTTAGAACTTTGGCCACAGTTTCAGAACTCGATCTCCTCTCACACCTCTCAGAGCGGCCTAGCAGCTGGAGATCTATGTGTTTTGCAAAGGAGTTGGAGCGAATTGGAAGTTTGTGTTCTTCATGTTTGTCTTTTTTATTTGAAGAAATCACACGCCCTTCTCAATCCTTTGCCATGTTCTGCGGGCAACATGCACTGCCGCACCAGTGCAAGCGCCTGCTACGTTTCCCGCCACCAAGGCCCTGGCGCCCCACAGCGCGTCGTGCGGCCCGCGCCCACGCGGTGATGCACGACGCGGAAGCGACCGCGCCATCCACGAGCGACAGCGAGATCCGCGCGCAGGGCGTGCTGGCTTGGTGTGCAGTGCGGCTGGGGCATCTTCGATGCGCCTGGGCGAGCACAGATTCAGGGACACAGGGGCCGTGTGCTGTTTGGGAAGGTTGTGTGGTTAGCTATACAGTTCAATTGAAGTTTGTTTGCTGAAGTGTGTATCTCCATGGACATGAACATATAGTTCACTTGGTCTAAAAAATGGGATGCAACATCCAACGTGCATGGAGGTTTCGCTAATTTTCAGGATGACCAACGTTGAAGCCTGAGACGCCTTGGGATGAACATGTACCGCTTCTCTGGATGAGCACCGAGCGGTGTGTCCCCTATGACCTGTAGTAGTGTTCATCCAGAGATGATGGATACGTTTTGAGTAAAGGCCTTGAGTAAGTTTGCTCACCATTATCATTTGCTCTTACTCTGAATGGGATGATACCCAGCTTCTATTGCTCTGTGGTACCACCAGGTTTGGGTGAAATAGCTCGGTCTCATCGATGGGGTCCACCAGGTTGCCTGGGCCACGCTGCCAGGTGCTGGTCGAGTGCATGAATGGAGATGCTTTTTCGCACCGACCAAGGGTCGGACCTTCGTTCCGCCCCGGGCCCACCACGAGAGGATTCTCAAAGCCACCCGTGAAAAGCTTTAGTTTGAAGTAATAGTCTATTCCCCAGACACAACCCATGGGACTGCCATAGGACTGCCGATCAGGCCAGGGGTGGGCAATGAGGGGTCTGTTTGGGGCGGCAGTCCTATGGCAGTCCCATGGAGTATATGGGTTAATTGATTGGATCAGTCCTAAGATCTCTGAGAGGGTGAATTGATTGGAAGACCAACATGCATCAAGACGCCATGGTGTTCTTATCAGTTATGATCTCCAAAGCGGGGTAGAAATTGGCGACCGCTTTGCAACTGTTACACGATATTGCGGCAGCAGGTGTTGGAACACTTAATGGAAAACAAACCATCCTGTTCATGGCAGCCATGCTGAAAATAAGAACCTGTTCATCATCTGATGGACTCCAATGGACGCATCAGGAAGCTGGAACCTTCAGAGAGAACGACACACCGATGACACTATACTAGACAGACATTGACTAGACCCAAAACTCCCCAAAGGCGCCGCGCGGCGCGACCCGACTCTCTTGCCGGCTTTGGTCTCCCGAATTCCCCCAAGAGGGTGATGATGGGAGATGATGGGAGTCCCTTCACATGAAGACGGCGATTCTAGACGGGTGCGGACGTCCGTCCCCTCCGGTCCGGTATTTGCAAGGCTGGCAAAGCAGCAATCTCCTCCTACCGGTCTACGTCGAGCATGCCGCCTTGCTCGGATGATGGGTCATTTCACGACATCAAGGGAACAAAACGACATCATGGGACACTTGATGATTGGCCCTTTAATCACTGATTATCTATTATCCCGGTTTGGGAATCCAGTCGTACCGAACCTCAGGTACGGTGAGGACGGAGACTATTTATGTAGGCGCCAGGAGGGCCCAGTCGTACCTTCTGAGAAGGTGGCAGTGGATCTCTAGGGTATATATACCCTGATCTTCCAAAAGTCTCTATTTAGAGGTTGAACCCTTATTTAAAGACTATAGTCTTTATTTTTTTCAATGAAAAACCTCTAAATAAGGTCTATAGACTCTAATTAGAGGTTAAACCCCTTAAAATAGAGAAGGTACCTCCTCTATTTAAGGCTTTAAGCTTTAAATTAGAGACTATAGTCCGTATTTAAGGGATGTTCCAAAAGCCCTTACTTAAGGGATGTTGACTGGCAAGAGAAACGACATATATATATGTCGTTTCTCTTGCCAGTCAACATCCCTTAAATATTTTCCATGTTAGAGTCCACTTCAGAGCTCCGGCACATCGTGCTGTGCAGCAAAACGGTCAAACACAGAGAGCCCCACTGCTTTTGCAGTGCTTCCCCCACCTCTGCGCTCGGCCAAGAGTGCAATCCTACCGCCCCATGACTCCTCAGTGTATGTCCAGAAGGCAGACGGCGGAGTGCTAGTCTGGACAAGTTCGAGAAAGGCGTGCAGCTTTGGCTTGGCCGGAAAAGTCTTCCAGCCATGAGCCGCGGAGTAATCACCCAGCGCGACATAGAGAAGGGCGAAGCGCAGGGCAGCCTGTTCTAGAAGTTCTCTGTGAAAGGCCTCTTTGCTCAGCTGCTGGTAGCAGACCTGCAACTGCAGGGCGGCTGCTGCTGCAGTGGCGGCCGCAGGCTGTGTGTGGTCGAAGAGCTCGTTTGTGACCTCGACCGCGAAATCAATGAGGTCCCTAGCTTCACCGGCTTTCGCCCGCAAGCGGGCATAGGCGCCAGGCTGCTTCCAGATCATTGTGGGCTTGAGCTCCAGCAAGCAAGAAGTCTTGCAGGTTCTCTTGTAGTAGGCCTTCATACGCAAGTGTAGAGCGCTGCACTTTTGCGCTTGGTTGCCCTCGAGGTAATCGCAGGCCCAAGCCAAGATGCCCCCTAAGAATTCCAAGGAGATGCCCAAGTCAGTGGTGTGGAGCCAATCCATTTGGAAGGTTTCGGTGGTGACAAATGGAATGTTGAAGGCTGGAGAAATCGATTTCCCATCAGCCACCATCCTGACCAAGAGATCAGCATGGCAGAGGCGGTGGCTGGGCTGTCGCCAGTCGGAGTTGGAGGCCACTTCGCGAATGCGGTCTGGCGTCATATCACATCGATAGCAGCAGCCAGTTTTGTCGCGCCAGCCAGGGAAGCGAAAGACAGACTTGAGGGCTGACCAATCACCTTTGATTCCCAGCAGCACCCCACGGGGCAAAGGCATGGCAGAGCCCAAAGCCTTCTTCCTCCAGGCATCGGTGTCGTCAAATGGCTTTCCAGTTCCAGCAGGATCTTCGGCTCTTCGTCCCCCTTGCAGGCCTCGGCTCGCTTCATGAGGACCCGCAAACCATCGAGCAAGGAAGACAAGGCTGTCTTGGCATTAGAGACTGCACGGTGCTTCGGCTCCAGCGCTTTATCCGTGTCGGCCTTGACACGTAGCGCCACCTCCAGGTTCTCCAGCTTGTCAAAGGGGGCCTTGAGCTTCAGCTTCTCGCGCTTCAGCGCCTCCATGTTCTTGCACAGGCCTTCGGACTCAAACTTCACTTCGGTCTCATTTTGGAGCAACTTCAGCCTCTTGTTGCCCTTTTGGACATCAAGGTTGTAGACATTGACCTTCTGCTCCTGTCGCTTTAAGTGGTCCACAAAGTTGCCACCGTAGAAGACATACATGAACTTATCCAACTCTTTCTCCTCAGGGTGCTCTTTCTTCTCGGCTTTGAAGGCAAACTTCTCGACCGACTCAGCAATTAGGTGCTGCACCAGAGAATCCTTGCGCTCAAAGGTCATCGAGTCCGGCTGGAAGGCGTTCATCTCCAAAATCTGGTTCCTGGCAGGGCAGCAAACAAAAAATGTTCTTTTCTGTCTTGGGGGTGGGGACCGCTGTGGGAGTTTAGTTTCAAAAGAGTCCTTGTAAAAAAACCTTCGCGCAGCTTGTCACGGGACTCCGTAGCATCCGTGTGTTGGTTCTCCACACTCATGAGCCACTGGGTATTGTTCTTGCCGCCAGCAGCTTCGAACTCTTTGAGCAGGCCCTCCTTTTCAGTCGCTGTCTTGCTCCAGTACATGTCCAAAAACTGCTGAGCCTGTGACTTCTTCTCTGCATCCTTGGAGTGGTTGGCCTTGTACTTCATGAGGTTCAAGACACGCTGCTGAAGCTGCATCTTCTCTGCAGCACTTTCTACCTCCAAGGCCTCAGTCGACTTGCCCCTTTTCAATTTAGCTCCAGCAGCAGGCTCTGCCTTGGCCTTGGCTTTAGCAGCAGCTTTGCCAGCAGCAGGCTTTTTGGGCGCAGCAGCCTTACCAGCAGCAGGCTTCTTGGGCGCAGCAGCCTTGCTCGCACCAGCCATGGCAAGGACAAGTGGTACTCAAGACAAGTGGCCTCACAGACAGGGAGCTACTCAGGGGTGGACAAGCTAAGAGCAGCGCCAAGCAAGAGCTGCAGCTCATCTCTCTCTCTCACAAAAAAAAAGAGAGCGCATCGCACTTGCCATCCTGTACGGTGCTCCCAAAAACCGGCAAAAGACAGACAAACACATCGACCCAGCAAGACAAGAACAAGAAAGGGGACAGGAAGGAGAAACAAACCGGAAGGACAAGATGTGCAATATGTTATGTCCTCAGGTCCTGACTCACCAAGAGCAAAGGACGCCAAGGTCTAGCCCCACCAGTCCAATGAACAAACATCTACTCCAAAGTCTGGGAAACAGACATTGAGCAGAAAGCCTGCGCAGCAAAAATTTTCAAATTTGAAAAAAAAAATCAAAAATGTTCCTTTTAATATTAAATTAAAAGGTAGACTTTTGAAAAAAAAATCAAATTTGAAAATTTTGGTGGGTGTGTGTGTGTGTTGGTGTTGCGCGCGCAACTGCTCCAAAACTCACAACTCGAGTTTGCATCCAAAGCCACAACCGTTGAACTCCTATCTGTTTGTTTAACAAAGGAAACATTGCCAAATCCAAAGCCACTCAGCTGGCATATTTTTCCTGGCTACAGGATTGGTCGCTGTGACTGGTATGGATTCAGGGCATCTCCTGGCCCACTATACTTATAGGTGCCTCTGGTGAGTAGGGTCTGGGATCCAAACATATATACCAACCCTTAAAGAACAAACCCTTGCACTTAACAGGTGGTTATATATATATATATAGCTTCATTCATTTGAGGGGTTATACCCACAGACCCAAACATGTTCCAGTGCAGGCTCTAGGAGCTCAGGCGCCACTCTTGGATGTGGCGGAAAACAGTCAACGCGCGGCGCCACATGAGGCATGTGGTGCTCAAATCCGGGGACGCGTCCAGCTCAAGGTTCAACGGGTTCTGCGTGTGTGGAACGACTTCCCACTTGGCGTCAGCCGCAGCAGGCCGAATGTCCTCGAAGGTCTCATCGCTCTGTCCTGCTGTGCGAAACAAACAAACATGCATGCAGGCCTGACTCCCAAGAGCAAAGGCCCAAAATCATGCGCAAAACACATGAGTTCAAACATATATTGTTTTTGGTTTTGGTGGCTTGCTCCTGACCCAGAAGGCAAAGGAGCAGGCCACCATATGAGTGTTGAGCACTGCGCCCCCCCCCTTTTTGTCCTATAGGAGCCCACCATGGCAACTGGTTGACCTTCACCAGGGACGCCACCGCGGACAAGTAGTCATCAGCCGTCAGCGCAGCCTGCGCACAGTCGGAGAGGAAGACCATCTGGGCATTCATCGCGTCATTGTTCTTCGGATCAATGGGGAGGAGGCGCTGGATGAGAGCCATGGTGCCGCGCTGCGCAGCCTCAACTGCAGTCGCCACCATACGGAGGTTTTCCTCCGTCTCAACATGCTCTTTCTCGACCAGATGGAGGTCATTCGGGCCCATCGGCTCCTTCGGCACAATGGTCACTTCCACCTCCTCGAGACCCGTGACTGTCGGGGAATAGGCCACATTGTCCGGCTGGTCCGGCTGGGACTCTGGCCAGGGATCCGTCAGATCCGTCTGTGTCGCCACAGTGCGGGGAGTCTGCGTCGACACCTCCTTCTCCCAGGTCTCCTTATCTTTGCGCTGCAGCGCATCAGCCGCCTGCCGAGCCCGCTTCTGCGACAGCTTGTCGAAGCGCTTCTTGTTGTACCAGGACTCACGCTTGGCCTGGTTGCCCGAACGCTTCTTGCCCGCCTTCTCCTTGGTCCAGCCCCAGGTCTTTTGAGTCTCTCCCAACTGCTCTTTCACATTCTTCAGCCAGTCCTTCATGTAGTACTCCCAGTCTTCTTTGGTCCAGGAAGGTGAAGAGCGCGCACTGCCTCGCTTGCACTCCCAGTTGTCCTGCAAAACAGGGGCCAAAAAACCTGCCATTTGCAAAACATTGAGGGGATTTGTTGCAACAACAGCACCAACTATACACAAAGGGCAAAGGGCGCGCACCCTGACGCAAAGCGCAAAGGGCGCGCACCCTGACCCAAGTGATTTTTAACCCCGCACCAGTCCTCCTTGTCATCAGTGGCCTTCCACATATAGAAAAGCCGGCACATCGGGTTCGCGCACCGCTGTTTGCGGAGATACGCCCATTGCCCGCACGCGTGGCACCGACGCAGGAACACGCTCACGCTGCCGCCGCCGCTGCCAGATGCCGAAGAGCTCGGATTGGCGCTACCAGCGTCGCCAGCATCCCTTTGGCGGTCCTGACAGGGGGTGTGGAGAGTTCGGGAACTGTGCGTGTTTGCTCTATGTATATTTTTTGGGTTATATATATATATGTAATATATAACATATATATATATATATATTTCATGCAGTATCTTCTGACTCTAGACCTTACCCACTATTCTATACTTTTTTGGTTTCTGGTTTGGCATTCCACTCCTGCCCGGCACTCTGGGAGTGAGCGCGCTTGCCCATAGCTGCAAGAACTGTCAAGCGGTCGAGAGTCCAGGGGGAGCTGTCCAAAGTCCGCTGCTTCCTTTGAACCCGGCATGCATGCATCGCACACTTTGAGCTGCTGCAAGTCGACTCACTCACTTCAGACCTTGCGCCTCTCTATACATCTAGGCCTCCTGACCTCCCTACGAAGCTAAGGATGCCGTGACTGCCCTGGTGCACTGCTGAACCGTGTGCACGCGCGCGTATGTTGTGCTGTGCGCGGGGAAGCGACATGAACAGGACGAGATACAGAGGGGTCGACAATCGGGGAAAGAGACAAGACCAAACAACAAGACCAAACAAAACACAAATTATCCCCCAAAACAAATTTTGCTTTTGGTTCGCAGCTGTGCAATCAAAGAAGGCCCCGCTTCAGCGACTGAGTGGGCACGCACAGAAGCTCACTGCATTTCAGGTCATTGCAAGCACTCATGTGGACTCTTTCAAATGAAAACCCCTTAAATTAATTAAAAACTATAGTCCTTAAATAAGGTTGATAGAAAACCCTTTAAATTAAAATAGAGACTTTTGGAAGATCAGGGTATATATATATAGACTAAATAGATCTATTGGGTCTGTCCAAGGTCTTCCTATGACCTGCAACAGTCGGTAAACAATGACCACTGTTTATCATCCACTGTTACAGGGATTAGGATAGACCTATCCTAATACTCCAGAATAGATCTAATTATATCCCTATGGATCCACAAGGTGATTGGAGACTATCTATGTAGGCGCCAGGAGGGCCCAGTCGTACCTTCTGAGAAGGTGGCAGTGGATCTCTAGGGTCAGTCTGAGTCTGAGCGTCTGAGCGCATCAGATTTCCGACTTCGAGTTCATCTGGATTGATTTCACAAGACGACTCGAGGAGCTAACCACAAACAGCCCAGACCTCCCCAGCCCATCCTCCAGAAATCGATCAACAACACCCCGCACCTGCACACAGAAACACCTTCCCGCAACACCTTTCATGGACCATTAGTATCCCTAGACCTCCAGTTGTACCTCCTGAGAAGGGTCCAAAGACCTTCGATCGTGGCCTCCATTTCGCACGTTTCGTCGGGATCGATCGGCACTCAGGATCGCTCTCCTCACGCCGAACGTCAGGCGTTGCTGACCTGGCTCCATGCGCTCCGTGGTGACTGAGCTGAGCTGGGACGAACGAACGCAGGTTGGCTGAACGAACGCGGCGGATGCTGAACGACAGGCAGGCACAGGGATCGCTTTTGGATCGCTTTTGGGTGCCAAAGAGTATAGTCAAAACATGTCAAAACTCATGTCATAAAAGGAGCAAGGTTTAGGTGAAACTGCACTCGTGCTTAGCAGTGGATTCGATTGGCTGTTTTCACTCGTTCTTGCCGAGCCTAGAGGATACACACAGCTGCAGACAGCAGCACCTAAACACTGCATATGAATGGCATATGGGGTTATTGACAAGCGGTCCATGTAGGCAGTTGTATAAATGATGTGTATAATTAATTGTATAATTAAATGTGTTCCAGTCCCATGGAGTAATCTGGGATACACTTGATTACACTTGCATTGGATCGACTCTCTGCATTGTATCCGAGAGCCTCGGGTCCCAGCGCATCGCGTGGAAACGGGGAAGCTCATCCGGGAACAAGAATGGCGTTGCGAGACTGCTAGTTTTTGTTGATAGATTTCCGCAAGATTCTTCAAAGATTTGCTTGTCCCGGGTCTTCTCTACAGCAATCAATATCCAGCAGGTATCCTAAATTCTATAGAGACTCTTGTCGTGATCGTGTGATTGCTGACAATACTGTTGATTGCAACTAACAATATTTGTTACAGTTCTGTTACAACTCTTCTACTTGCCAATTATATGTCTATGAATCCTTTTCAATCCTTTTCATAACTCCAGCTTCATTGTGAGAAATGATTCCTGAACGGCATTGCTTTGGTTACAAACCCTCCCAAGCTCTCGGAGCCGGCACTTCTTTACAGTCCCGGGCCAGGAACCGTTGCAAACCAGAGTAGGCAAGAGCATGTTTTCAACACACACAAACTCCAAACTGGGTAGTCTCTTGAGAATGGTCATCAGCATCAAGCATCCAAGTTCTCACCTGCCAGGTTATTGGGTCTCTTGCCGGAGCTCGCGTTATGAGAAGACGTGGATGGAGGTGGTGGGCAAGAAGTTAAAGATTCAGCGACCGATAGATCATTTGCATCCGAAGGTTGACTCTGCAGGTGCCAGCAGAGTTGGTGAGACATGGAGAGGGAAGAAGGTGAATGCAGTGTTGTTGCCTGCTTTCTTTCGCCTGTCCCGAGCAGCGAGGCGAAGGCGCCAAAACGAGCGGCGAGGCAAAGTCTTCCTCGCGAGCAGCGAGGCGAAGACGAGAGACTTGGAGGACCGTGCGAGGGGTTGAGCATTTGTGACCTACGGCTGAGGCTGTCCTGGCTGGCGACCGCCTTTCTCTAGGGACCAGTCCGGACATACCATGACCGTCCCCAATAGGTATACCGTTGTCCATTTACAACCGTCCTGGAGTAGATAGAATATGAACCAATCCCAAAACATGGTAGGAGCGCCTGTAGGAGCCCGGCGCGTTCGCTATGTTTGAAACGCTGCTGAGTGGTGAATTACACTGTTTTGTGCGTTGTTTCTGCGGGCATATAAATGCCTTTGACATCCCGTGTTTTCGAAAGGACGA